TCTCTCACACACACACACACACACACACACACACACACACACAACCTTTCTTCTGCTTTGCATTCCTCCATTTGCTAACAGAGCCTTTCTACCCACCAGTGGGTTTCTTCCTCTGCCGTTTGGGTAATTTGGACGATTCCATTGCTAACGTAGCACCAAAGCAGAGGTTCAGAGCTGTCATTTTTAAATCATTGCATTTTAAAAAGCAATCGTCTGTACAGACTGATGTGGTTGTGCAGATGGTGTCAGACATTACGGATGTTGTTCAAACCACATTTTCTTTGATGGATGTCAGGTTAATGTTGGCTGTATTGAAGATGCAGAAGGAAAGACTGGTCACTTAACCGAAAGGCAGATTAGAACTGATTCCGATTGTACCTCGAGGATCAGAGGTCTGTGTTGGATGAGTTCCTTCTCAGCCCCCCTTCACTGTGCAAATGGATTGTGGTTTAATTCTTACTGGTTCAATGGACGGCAAATGACTGGTTTTGTTTTGTGAGCTGATTTAGTTTTTTCCTTCTTTGAGCAAAATGAAACTCTTCAGCTGGCAGATTGTACTGGAACTGTTGTAGGTGCCTGATTCAGAAAGAGAAAATGGTTTTTTCCAGCTGAAAGAGGTTTCTGGGAGCCCTGAAAGATTACGATCATTTTATATTTGATACTTTCGGTTCTCTGAAAGCTTTGGGCTTCACTGCTGCCGGTATGCCCTGCTCCTTGGAGAAGGCAGTGTTCAGCCTCCAGCCTTCTTCCCTGTTAGGAAGAAAGGAGCAATGCATGCAGCCGGCGACGGTGGTCTCTTCTTGAGGATTATTCCACAGGGCATTTTAAAGCAAAGTTCAACAAATTTACGGCCTCGTGTGAAGAACACTTAGGAGTTGCGGCGTCCCTTTGACATGAAAATGTCTACAGGCTTGCTTGTCTGAATGGAGGGTCGAAGTCATTGTGTTCCTGAGTCACGGCTTGGAGTAGGTCGGTCTCTGTGGCTTGCTTCTGTCCTAGTGTGAAATGCAGCTGTTGGGCTGGTGTGCTGCGACACGCGGATCTGTCATTGTGAAGGATTAATCGCAACATCCCATGAATCAGGCGATCCAGAGGGTTGAAATGCTTCCTGCAGAGTTTTCCCATTTTTTGTCCTGCAGACAAGTGACTATAAAGGGCAAGCTCATGCGAAGGATGAGAAAAGTTTGCATTTTAATAGCGTTCTTTTCGAACAAAGGTGCTGTGAAGAAAAGGCTTTCACAGCACTGAAAATTGCATATTAAAAAATAAAAATGGATACAATCATGAAAAAATAATGTTGCCCTTTATCTGTAGGCATGCGTTGTTCCCCCCTTCTGGACAACCTTTAGAACTGTTACGAGCAAATTTTTTGCACTTTAAGTTTGTTCTCAAAACTAAGGAGGTCATTTAAAAATATTTTTTGTATTTCCCTGCTCTGTTATGAAACTTCCATTATATGCTCACTTTACTGACCCTTTGTAAAAGGTAGGGGTGTATGGTTGTTTTCCTTGCATGAGGAAAGAACACGTTACCTGCCGAGCTCAGATGTGTAGGACTTTGAACATGCCAGATCACTTATCTTGTGCCATGGCTTTAAACCTTCCCCTCCCCCCAAAATGGGAAGCTTTAAGGTCTGTGAAATATGAACTTTGGGCACTGGCATTCGAGCATCGTTTTATGTAATTATTGTGTGGGACTTAAATTTCTAGCGCTGCGAAGATGCGGCAGTAAAGTTAAGGCGGGTTGATCCACCGTGTGTGGGTCTTCCTTGAGCGTAGACCTCTCTGGCGGCTGGCGGTAGCTGATCTGAGTAACTTTTGACTGACACTGGGTTGTTTAATCTCTGCTTCCGGGTCGCTCTCCTCCTCTCCTCTGGATCCTGCCTCCTCAATTAGGCAGAGTCCGAAAGGGGCGGGAGGCGAGGGCTGTGCAGGGCCCAAGGCAGAGCAGCTTCCTCGAGGAGCAGTGCATTCTTTAAATCTCCTTCATTTTGTCTTGAATGTGCCGCCGCCACCTCGTTGCTGTTTGCTTTATATTGTAAGAGGACCGCGAGGTTGAGGTCATGACATGAGCTCGCTTGGATCCGTGTTCTTTCTTCTGCGGAAAGGACTCTGCCTTTTTGCTCGCGAGAGAATGGGGTAGTTCTGAATTAAGAGCACCATAAAAAGGCACCCCGTAACGCAAGACGGAGTGGCTTGTAGCCTTGAAGTTCCCGTGTGATGAATTGCTCAGCGGCCTTTGGATGTTGGGGCCCCGAGGCAGGCGGCGACGCTGTCCCTTTCTGGTGCCAGTTGGATCGGCCCGGCATCGGCTGCTTGAGCAAAAGCCAGATATTCCTCTGCACTGGGGGTACTCCTTGAGAACCTGTCACAGCCTGGCCTTCTATTTCTTGGGACTGTGCCCCTCTTGCTCTGGGTCTTTCCTGGCCCTCAGGCCTGGGTGCTCTCGCCCTGTGCTGACAGGGTTCCTGTTCTGTGATACCAGTTCTGCAGCTTAGCTCTTCTGCAGTTCCATCCTCCAACCAGCAGTCCAGAAAACTAGGCCTTGATCCATGCGCCTCCTGGTTCAGCCGATTTTATTTTATTTTATTTTATTTTATTTTATTTTATTTTATTTACAGCCCAGGAAACTGAGCCATTAAAAATGTGACAGCTAAGTGGCTACTGCATATGCTTTGCGATTTTAATATTAGGGGATTCGGTGTTTAGCCCATGGTTCAGCTAGATTGTGCTGTCAGAAGCCTTTGGGTTCTTTTAAAGGAGGCCAGGAAAAAAGCTTGAATACATGTACAAAGCACCTGATGGCTGCTGCTTAGAAGAGGTGTCTTCCCTTTTCTCACATGCTAAAAAGATACTGTGCTTCCAAGATGTTGCCCACTCTGAGGTCATCTGAAACAGAGAAGGGTATGTGGTTGGAGTGTTTCTTTGCGGGGGCGGGTTTGCATTATCATTCCTGTTTAAAGCAAAGTTGCAGATCTACAACAGAATCCATTTATCTACTCAGAAGCAAGTCCTATTGAGGTTAATGGAAATAGCTCCCAGGCAATTGGTTACATGATTGTGGTTGTCATTGATTAATATTCATATGGCTAATACATGAAGATTTCTTCTCTTCTACGCTGAGAGAATTATCTCTGTCCAGGAAAATGCTCCGTGTTAAGTCTTCATCCTTGTTCCACATGGGATCAGCCCCATGGGCTTCCGTGGATGCCCTGCCTCCTTTTTATCCTAGGACCTTGGCCATTGTCTGGTGCTCCCCTGAGTGCATCTGACGTGTGTAATGGCATGTTACATGTGTGTACAAGCCTCTAGTTTTGAGGATTCGTCCAGATTTGCAATTAAATCCATAAAACACACCAGTAGATTGTACTAGCCTGCTTTGTCATTGGTACTTGGAAGCCTCTTGTTTTAAAAAAGCAAAGGAACTTGCTAAGCTTCCCTTCAGGCTGTTCTGGAAGATTCTTACTGGCCATCTGCAAAAGAGAGGCTATATGCAAGTCTGGCTTGACTGAATTTTCAGGGGAGGAAACAAGGGCCTCTACCAGCCATGATCTGTGGCCTTTTTTCAGTCTGTTCCCCACCTCTTCCCAGGAAACTTCTGTTCTTTTCAATGTTGCCTCCTCTGCTGTTTTTGAACAATTGTTTGTCAGGTTCTCTTTTAATTGCAAAGATACTTTTGCATTCTAATGTGTGTGTAGGGAGCAATAGAAAAAAAGTTGTTTTGCAAACCAAGCATGTGTGAAGTTTTTGCAGTCCTGGTTTATTTCAGATAACTTTTGCATGGTTGTGAGTTCTTGGCTGGCATGTTTATAAATGGTTTTTGTATTCTGTTTACATTTCTATGAGCCAGTTGCACAGTGCATTCTGATTTGGGCCTTTTGGTGCTGAATTTAGAATGCTGGATTTGATGAAGGAAACCTGACAAAGTTTGGAAACATTGTGTTGGACCAGGATTTGTTAGCCTTTGCAATGCCCTGGAGAAGAAGTTGATGCTTGGAATTGTGTTTCTGCTTGTATAATAATAATGTTACAAACTTGCCTTGCCTGAGAGGTGGGGGGGGGGGGAACGTCACCACTTTCTCCCTCTTGCAAGAAACTCAAGGCAGCTTACATTATTTTTTCCTCCTCTTTTTATCCTCACAAGAACCCTGTGAGGAAGGTTAGGCTGAGTTAGTGATGGGCTGAAGGTCACGCAGCGAGCTTCACGGCTGAATGGGGACTTTAACCCCTGCCTCTCACCTCCTGCCCGGCTCTCTTACCACTACATGACAGGGACTTCCACTGACTTCATTTCGGTTTGCCTCAAAGCAGTTCAGATTTGCTGCAGGTCACTGGGTTTTTTCATGCTGTAAGTTCATTTGCATCTTTCAATTCCTTGTGTGTTCATCTCCCCCCTTCCCTTTTACAAAGGTTTCTCGTTCTTTCCTGGCTTCTAATCTTGGGATGAAAGATCATTCTCCTGCAGGAACATTGATTATACCAGAAATAGCCACCCTTTTTCTTCACAATAAACCACAAAGTTTATTTTGGGACTATTGATTTTCATCTTTTAGCCTGTTCAGTTTCTTGTTCTCCAGGGATGTTGCAGATAAAATACTTGGTGCATGATAAATATCGCACCGAAACATATATTACATTCTGCACTTTGACACTGAAAGCCCATAATGTTCAGTCATTTCCCAAGAACATATTTCTATATTCCATTGCTGTTATAATTATATATTGGGAGCCAGCAGAGATGTTCAGAAAAATCCAATCCTCCTTGGAATTTTATCATGTCTGATTCCCAGCAGGAAATCATGTTTGAA